TTAATATATATTTTTTTTAATATATATATATTTTTTTTAATATAAAAAATATATATATAAATCTTAAAAAATAGATGTATATTTAAAAAAAAAATAAATATACATATATTTAAAAAAAAAATAAATATATATATTTTTTAATATAATAAATATATATATAATTATTTTTTAATATATATATATTAATATATATATTTTTTTAATATATATATATTAATATATATTTATTTTTAATATATATATATATTTTTTTTAATATAAAAAATATATATATAAATCTAAAAAATAGATGTATATTTAAAAAAAAAAAAATAAAAAAAACGCATCTTGGGCAATTATGTTCGAGGAATGAAATTCACGTCACATGGTTGCACCGTGATCGAGTTTTTCGCGTGGTACCCGGATACGTGAACGTAATAACCGAAGGTGAAAGACAACTCGAACGAATAAGAGTGGCGAATAGAGAGAGAAGGAAGCGCGATACGATGGGAAAGATCCAGGGAAAAGGGTCGCAGCCTAGGAAAGAAACGCGAGGGAGGATTTGGATCGAGTGGGGTATAGACCACGAGTGGAGGGGCAAAGTCGGTACTCTCCTTCGAGTATATATGCTCGAAGCGGGCGAAGCTATGCTACAGTTCACTAAGAGACAAAAGCGATAAGAATAGGATCAGATGTTGATGGAATGAGAAAAAATCGGAATAAATAGATACGCGATACGACTGGCACAATTATTAAATAAGTTGTTAACCGTTGTTCGAGGCTAAAGTTTGATTCTGTGAAGCGGTCGTCTTCCGAGAAGACGCCAAAAGTGCGAAAGGGGACACAGTGCGAAAGGAGAATCGTGGATCGCTGAGGAATATTTCGTACTCTTTGATCGAATTTCGCTTCTCATTTTAATCTCGTTTTCGTTTCGTGCAAAAAGGGAGAAGAGAAAGTAGGGAATAATGGCAACCGGTACGAATTTCTTTGCTACGCTGATGATACTGTGCGTTTTAAACGTGATACTGATGCCAAAAACGACGTACGCTGCGCCGCCCCATTTGCTTAGGTAAGAGACAAAAATCGTTTTGCATAGTCGCAGGTGCAAAAAAAAAAAAAATTAAAATATTGGACTTTTAAAAATGAAAAAAAAAAAATTAAGATATTGGACTTCGCTGAATTACAAGCTAGCAATTTTTCAAAAAGGCACTAGTTCTTAAATACTCTTTTGAAAAAATTTAAATAACTATATAATAAATATTTTTAAACGCTTTGTACGAGTTTTTTTAGATTAGTTTGTAAAATATACCGATTTATTGTATATTCTTTCATATATTGTTACATATGATAAAATATATGATAAAATAGCCAATACTATTATACAGGTTATATATGGTGAAAACTTTGGGTTAACATTAACCTAACGACTATTACAAATGACAAAATCTCGTAGCTCCGAACCAAAATGGAAACCTTCCTCAACTTGTTGCACGCCCACGTGAAATCACGTCAAAAATTCTCATTTTGAGCTTATCCAAAAATCACTACGTTCTTCTAGTACTTTGAATCAAATATACCAACAATCATCTATTCAAAATTCGATCAATTTTCCCAAATCTTTCTGTTTCACCTCTTATTTCCTCAATTTTAAGTATATTTAAGTATAACCCAGGCGAAACAAACGATGAATTTATTGCTTCACAATAATTTCTAATCCAGTGATATCATGCCGACGAGGTTCAGGGATTACCGTGGATTACCGGTTTGGTCACTCGTTATGGTCCGCAATCAGTTGCCAGCGCCAAGATTTTGAAGGAAAAATCCCAGCGCGACGTCGAAACGAAATTTGATCAGTCTCTGATAGCGATCGTTATCTGTCCGATTAATTTTATCGATTTCTCTTCGATTAGGCTTCACATTATGAAATTACAGTACACGTAATAGTTATGAAGTTGCAATACGTCGGCCGATTCATCGAGATTTGACAAAAAGGAAATTTTCAACGACAATGAGCCGACGGATTACGATTGAGACAGTGCTTTATCTCTTTCCCTTTCCCCACCAATTTGTTCCTCTGTGAAACTCCCATGGACAACGACGTCAGAGGATACTGAGAGCTTTGTGGCATATGTGTAACGGAGATTAAGAAGACAAAATTGACAACGATCGACAAACGCGGTATTGTAATCTCGCGTAAGTTTGCAATATCACCAACCGCACCGCCAACGCGTTTCTCTTTTTATTTCTCTCTCTTTTTTTTCTTTTTTTTACTCGCGTTCGCTGCTAATATGAGTTCCACGTTATCGCTTATTGTAAGCTTCAAGTATCGGGATATAATCGAAAGCGGGGGTATTTGAAAGAAAATATATTATAATTAAATGGAGGTTGCCTTTCTTATCGTCTCTGGGAGAATGTGTAAAAACAGAGCGCAGTTCTTGGAAATCTTTTATTGGAAAAGTGTTGCTCTTCTACAGTTCGACTTCGAAATACTTTTGTTGAGAAATTAATATTGATACAAAGAATGTTTGATTCTAGAATTAAAGATTATGTCGTTTGCATAAATAAATATATATTTTAAATAAATATTTAATTTATATATAATATTTATATATATATAATTATATATAATATTTATATATAATTTAAATAAATATTTTTCAGAGTAATTGAGAGAGTTCTTATCAATATTTTGGAAACTTTTGAAATTTTTTAACGAGAACCTTTACTATATAATTATCTACACCTTTACTATATAATAAAACTGATAATGCAAGTAATTAACAATGTAGGAATCATTAATGAAATATTTCTATCTGATTTTTAAAATTTTCTCACGATTTCTAAAAATTTCTACAGATTCGGAAAAAGAAATTAAGTAAACTTAAGACACTCTAGTCTGATTACTTGAATTATTCCATAGTTTATTGTATTTCGTTAATTTCGTCATATCATAGTGACGTTTATAATTATCGAATCGCAAGCGTGAACGCCAAAAGGATGCAATTAAATATCGACGAGGAAAAAATGTTAAACTCGCAATTGAAAATTAAAAATTTTCTTAAAAATTTTTAGAATTGAAAATATATTAAAAAAATAATTTTATTAGAAATTTTTAAAATTAAAGACATATTAAAGAAATAATTTTACTAGAAATTTTTAAAATTAAAGATATACTAAAAAAATAATTTTATTAAAAATTTTTAAAATTAAAAATATATATTTATTTAATTATATTAAAAAAATAATTTCATTAAAGATTCTTTAAATTAAAAATTTGAAAGAGGACCCAGGCATGCCGGCCAATTAGCTTAGTTTTCCTTAAAGCCAACGGCTGATCTCGCGGGATTGAATTGCGACATCCATTTCACAGCACTTTGCGCGAAAGTTTGTTATAATTGCAAGTTCTACATGCTGCACGCAAGTCATGGTTGCGTGTCACAACGCTGACTCGATAAAGCGTTTCTGGCTTCTGTTTGTTCTTCCTTTATTAGCTTTTGTAAAAAGTGAAAAAAACGAAGACCAAGAAAGAGAGAAAGAGAGAGAAAAAGAAGCTGCACATTTACCACCGAATCCGATTTAAAACAAGTTACGATTGTTGATGAGCCGTTTATTTCATTTTTCGTTTCTCTTTTGAAAGCAGGAGGAAAGAAGAAAGTCTTTCCACCGAGAAAGGAGAGAACGAGAAAGAGAACAGATGATTTAAAACCGGTTGTAAAGATTCTTATTATATCGCGCCGCCGAGTTTGTTTTACACCTCGCATAATTAGTTGTGTAATACTTGAAATTAAGTGGTAACGCAAGAATCCGCGATGAGTCAGTAGAACCTTGCCGGTACGTGAAAATTATTCCACGAATCTAATAATAGAAATCTGTTCGTTCAGAGATTGCAGGCATTTTTCTTTTTTTTTTTTTTTGTTCTTTCGATATGGAAAACTATTCTTATCTATTCGATCAGTGAACCGTGTTCGTGATAATGACAGACACCTGTTCCGCAAATATTTTTTAAAAGATAATTTAATATCTTTATATATTTATAAGAGATATATATTTAAGAGATGAGTTTTTTTAATAATATTTTATATTATTAAAAATATTTTAATAATATAAATAATATTATTAATAATATTTTTATATATTTATAAGAGATATATATTTAAGAATAATATCTATATTTTTAATAATATCTTTATATTGTAATTTTCGCTTTAGTTTCTTCTCACATATTTTATTCCTACTCTCGTTTCCCTCTATTAGATCATTAGATCATCAGATTAGCAAATTACTAAATTACATCTTCTTTCAATAATAATCATCCAATTCATTGTAAGAGATAACGTTTTAATAATAATTATCTATTTACACACGAGTTTCTTTATCTGTTGTTATATTTATCGAATTCGCAGTTAAAAATATACTATACATTCCTCCTGATGAAGATAAAATAATATTCTTATTTTATATTAAAATTAGTTCTTATTATATTAAAATAAGTTCTTGATCTTTGTAGAAAGATTATAGAAAAGTCACAAGCATTCGTACTTTCTCGGTCATTAACCATTTTTTTCTCCTTTAACCTCTTGCGCTGATTGCGGACCATAACGAGTGACCAAACCGTGTACAATAATCCGTCGCTTTCTTTTTGAACTCGTCGGCATGATATATCACTATATAGAAATTATTGAGAAGTAATAAATTTATTATTTGTTTTGCCCATTTTGTTTTACTTACATATACTTAAAACTGAGAAAATATTACAACTTTGGTACAAAAAATTCTCGACGTGCGTGGCACGTCATTCCAGCGCAAGAGGTTAACCAAGCCACCTGCGCTGGCCACTGATTGCGGACCGTAACGAGTGACCAAACCGTGTACAATAATCCGTCGCTTTCTTTTTGAACTCGTCGGCATGATATATCACTGTATAGAAATTATTGAGAAGTAATAAATTTATTATTTGTTATTTTTCCTGGGTTTATATTTAAATATACTTAGAATTGAGAAAATATTGTAATTTTGGGACAAAAAATTCTTGACGTGCGTGGCACGTCATTCCAGCGCGAGAGGTTAGATCAAGTTTTTTTAATTTGTCTACTTTTAGATTTATTTTTGCAACATCAGTCGATAACGATAATTATTAAAAATAATTTATGAATGACATTCGTTGGACAGTGGAGTTTCATGCGAATTTATATTTTCGAAAGTATAATTTAAAATGTAGAATCTTGCAAGGGGATTGTTCTGCGTAAGAACACTGTAATTTAGATATTTTGCATATTTTTTCATATAATGTGCAATCTTCGAATTTTCTATAAATGAATTAAATATTAGTAATTTAGTAATGACTATTTGCTGTTTACTTTATAGCCGACAAAGGCGTGTATCGGATCAAAGACTTGCCGAAATAGAGACACTTTTAGGATTGCTGAAAATGAAGGGCAAACTAGTGAAGGTTCCAATTGCATTCGGCCTGTTGGATCCGAAGAAAATGTAAGTAATCACTTTATATCTCGTACTAGTTGCTCCTTATCTTTGCTGATTTATTGTTCGCTCTTATCAAATTTCCTGCAAAATTTCTAATAATAGTATTATTTCCTATTACATCTTCGGAACAACAACATAAACAAAGAAACAGATATCTTCATTGAAAACTTTCTTCAATTTGACTTTTAAATATCGACCGTTCAAGATTTTAATTTTAATCTTGATAAAAGGGAAGCAAAATTTTTATAATAATAAAATTTTATAATAAAAATAAAAAGACAGGGAAAATGTATTGATATTGACTAACCTAAAAATTTAGCAAGAACATGGTAAAAATACTGTTTCTTTTCAAAAAAATGTTCACTCGGGGAATCTTGCTATTAATTTTTCAACTTTTGAGAATATGTACTACTAATATTAATATTATTTAATAATACTAATATATTTTAACATTTGAAAATACAGTAAGTTCTCTGTAAAATCTCCTAAAATGACCAAAAGATTCTGTGTCACTTGAGATAATATATCAGATTGAATGGAACAACAAAAAATGATTTCAATATATAATATTTCAGAGACCAAAAATAATAACAGTCATCTTAAAAATTTTTATTAAAAATCAGTCACTGAAATTTGTCCATTATTTAAGTCGACGATATCACTCTCAAAATGGAAAGATAATTTTTGATAAAGAACTGCACGAGTAAAAAATTAAACAATAACAATTATAAGTATTATTTTGCATTCGATCGAAACAATTTTTTGCAAACGTATTAAAACATTTTAAAAATCGTGAAGATTACATTTGTAATGTAATTTTCTCGCGGAGATTAATGAAGAACGAGAATTGAAATTAATTTCTCTTGTCGATAATTATTACGAGCAATCGAAAGAAAGCTGTCCTCGTTATAAATAATTCAATTATGAATAACCGAAATAAATTTTTCTGACCAATAATGGTTATTGATAATTAATTGATTGATTTTTCATTTTGATGTTGATTTTTCAATACCATCTTTCAAATTACAACTCTTTTAAATTATCAATTTCAAATACAAAACGTTGAAATTAATTTTAATGATAAATTGCTGATGTAGAAAATTTCATGTAAAACACTGAACTTTATCCTTAACTCTTCCAAGAATTCTTAGTTCACTCAGATCAAATCTACAAATTTATGTCATAAATAAATCATTCTAAATTATTCCAAGCAAACAATAACTTTGAAAGGAAAGCCACCAGAATTTTACCACTCAAATTCAACGCGATCGTTGACCGTGGGATGCGAAAAAAAGAAAAAAATCTTTTTCTTTCTTTTTGTTACCGAGTGACAATACCATGAATCACAAACTCTTTCCCATATCTCTTTACTACGAAAAAGAGGAGAAGGAGAAAAGAAAACAAAAACTATCGTTACAAACGACTCTTACGAATGAACTTTGGCTAATTTTTCAAATGGAAGGAAGACAGAGCCGCCCCCGTTGTATTATCGTGTATACAGTCGTGCTAAAAATACCGGTCTATTTTTAAAAAAAAAGAAACAAATGAGAAGAAAAAAGGTACTCTGGTGGTATGATTTTAGGTTCAGGAATCTCCGGAACAGGACACTTGTCAAACATCGTCTATATTGTCTATACGTTCTCGCGAACTCGCCAAGTAACAAGAAAAATGTAAATTTTTAAAATTGCATTTCGTAACTACTAACTATTAGAGAACAGATTTGACAGTGTAAAATGATTGAGGAAAGAAATTGCAAATGAATTGTTTTTAAGTAGTAGTACGATTACATAAATATTAAAATGCATAATTATATTAAGTAAATATTAAAATATTAAAATATTAAAATAATAAATATTAAAATATTAAATAATAAATATTCAAATATTTAAATGTCAAATATTAAAATATTAAATAATAAATATTCAAATATTTAAATATTAAATAATAAATATTCAAATATTTAAATGTCAAATATTTAAATATTAAATAATAAATATTCAAATATTTAAATGTTAAATATTAAAACATTAAATAATAAATATTCAAATATTTAAATGTCAAATATTTAAATATTAAATAATAAATATTCAAATATTTAAATGTTAAATATTAAAACATTAAATAATAAATATTCAAATATTTAAATGTCAAATATTTAAATATTAAATAATAAATATTCAAATATTTAAATGTTAAATATTAAAACATTAAATAATAAATATTAAAATATTTAAATACTAAAATTAAGTATCATCAATACGACATACATCAATAAATAAATCTATTTATTTGCACGTTCACAGATAAATAGGAATAATTATTATAGTAATATCGTATATAATTATTATAGTAATATCGTATATAATTATTATAGTAATATCGTATATAATTATTAATAGATATCGTACAGTAATCATAGCCGTGCATTTGTACTGGGTTAATTAATTTTGAAATACTTATATTCTAAAATGCTGTAATAAGGGCCATTGATAACTTTTGTAGAATAGAAATTCAAATATACCACTTCAAAATTAAACGAGACAAATTAAATTAATTTACCATTTAATGATATGAAACGATATTTCATTTATTTGAAAACAAAGTTGTCTTCGGTCTCGATTAAAACTTTTCACCGTGTTCGCGCGAAATTTGTGCTCCACCCTGAGACGAAGCTCGGTTTTTAATTCTGTCTCGGTCGCGAATTTCCAAGTCAAATGATCTATTGGTTGAAAGGAGATGGAAACAAAGAGGAAGAATATACGAGAAGTATGTAGCACGTTCGGCGGTGAAATTCAACTTGTTGCATCGTGTTCGCGTGACGGGAGCGAGAAAACCACATTCAAAGGCCTCCGACGTGCACGCACGCTGACAGAGGGTGGCTGAATCACGTGAGATAAAAGAGGAACAGTCTACTAATGCTGAGAAACGTGTCGTCTGGCAGCCTTCGGAAGACACTGAATGTTCCTCGAGATGTTATTAACTTCGTACCGCCGTTCTTAAGAAAAATGATTCTCGTTTCACTGGGTAATGTCGCGAAGATTGCGCTGCTCGGAATAATAAAAATATACGAGTGGATTGATCAGCTTTTTTGATGATATCTTTTAGAGTTTCCACGTACTAATGAAAGTTGATATTGCGGGACAGTTTCTTGCTCTTCTTCCTATTCCTAGAGAATAGATTTAATTTTATTACGGTTTTATTATTAAATTAATTTAATTTTATGACGGTTTTATTATTAAATGTATTAATTAAATATTTCTACAAGAATCATTTAGCGTAGATCATGTACGGAATACTAATAAAAATCTTATAATCATGTCTACGAAAGTTATCTCTATTGAAAATTCTATTAAAAATTTGAGATATTATTGAAAATTCTATGAAAAGCGCCATTTTTTACAATTGTTCCTACAAAGGCAAGAGGAATTTTGCTACAATGGTAAAAAATATTTATGAGATATGAAACTCGTCACATATAATTGACAATATTTAGTTTAAATAAGAAATGAACAATGTCATATTATTCTTTATAATTATTTCTATGAAAATGAAGAAGAACTCTTCTGTAAAGAAGAATTGAGTTAGAAATGAAACTTGTGTTATTAGCAACATGTAAGCTTTCATAGACAATCTGGGTCATTTGCGCCTCGAGCAGAACTTCACTGAATTTTTCATGAATTTTTCAAAGCAAATTTTAATTCTTATTCTCCGAGAAACATTCTCCTTTTAAAGCGTTGATTTAAGAACTACTATTGTACAATATAACAAAGACTTCTTGAATTTGAATTTTTTCTACATTTTCTGCAAACAATGAAGCAGTAAAAAAAAATTAGGCATGGATGTGAATGATCCGGCTTTGTTGTAAACATTGTGATAATATGTTTGCTCACGGAGGTTCAATTTAAATAAATACTGACAAACATATGTCGAATGATTGTCGTTTGATATGAAATTTTCCCTACCTACCACTGTTCGTTTCAGAAAAGTGTTGAAAATCAAATAAATGTAAAGAGCGTTAGTTATTGTTCTGAGATTCGACGCCCAAGAGAGTTTGAAAACAAACGATTGTTAAAGAAAGATTATTAAAAATCGTAATTCAAATATTGAAAGTAATATTAACGCGCCATGCGAGTTTTTATATACTATTCCCTTTAGGAATGACTGTAGTTTGAAATATATTACATTATAGCTAAAATTTATCTTATTTTAATCTAGTAGTTCAAGTTTTTTAATTTTCAATTTTAATTCTTAAATTTTTTAATTTCTTGATGCTATTCAAAAAGTAATGTCAACGTGTTAAAATAACAGAAACATTCACTCACAACAGATCATTCTTCTCTATATCTTCTATTCTGTGTCAGACATTAGCTTTCAAGTAATATCTACAATTCTATAATATATAAACATAGAATATTGAGTTTATGTAGTTATGTGGTATTATAATGCACCATAAGTGAAATAAAATCATGTAGAACAATCCTTCGAAAGAAGATTGAATGGAATGTCACTAAAGAATATACGCTTAGATAAACATTAATAATAAATAATCTACTTTAATATTAAAAAGTAATTTCACGACAGAACAAATTATAATGTCTACTCCTATATTGCAAACATTGTAACAAAAGTAATAACATTCAAGTTTAAACATTCAATTTTTAAAAATATCTGAGTACTTATCCAACCATATCTTCAACTACAAAAAAAAAGTTTGTATATGCCATATTAAATACTTTAAAATTTAGCACTGGTATTGAACATTTTAAAATTTAGGCATGATTAGATATGAATATTTTTAAATTTAGGCATTATAATAGATATGAATATTTTAAAATTTAGGTATTATTAGATATGAATATTTTAAAATTTGGCACGATTATATTGGTCATGCTTAGAAATAATCTGTATATATATATATATATATATATATATATATATATATATATATATATATATATATATATATATCTGTAAAGTATATAAATTTACAAGATATTTATTTGAAATGTACATTTGGTAAAAATTTAATGTAGAGTATGAGTCAAATTGATTATTTAAATGCTCTTATGAAATACATTTTGTAACTTTTATATACTATAATTTTATATATATTTATAGATATAAAATTAATAATACATATAATATATATATTTATTTCTGGCTGGATATAATATATATATATATATATATATATATATATATATATATATATATATGCATTATATATATTATACTATAATATATATATTTTTAATGATTTATTTCAAACTAGATATAATCGTGATAACATTAAAAAGATTTCAAAATGTTTCGTTCATCGTACATAATACGTGTAGTACTCACAAAAATTTTGTACGATAAATTTTCAAATACTGCCTGTATATTTGGCAACTACGTTGACAGAATAATCTAAAGAGATTCGCGTGGGAAAAAGGACGAGACAATGGAAGAGGAAACGCTAATGGTGCTTCTATAACCTTGTTACCTTCGTTCCAATGCTTTTCGAATAAATTGCTCTTCAGACACGTTAGCACGATCAGGATCACGAAAATTCGCTTGAAAACTAGCTGAAACGAATGGCTTTCCCCTTTTTCCGTATTTCGATACGTTAACATCTGCACCCTTGCAACGAGTCTGTTCGTAGAAACACTTCGTTTTCTTCATTTCCTTCCATTCGTTATTTCTCGCGTCGCTCGAGTGTAAACGTCATATAAAATGCATCAAAAGGTGAAAAAATTCAAACAATGGAAAGCACGGCGCGGTAGCTCTTTCGTTTAACGAACCATTGAAAGTCGAGACACTTTGAAAAGATTTCTCGAAATCAAAGGGAAGTTTTTCTTCTTCTTCCTCTTCGTCTTCTCAAAGTCGGGATCAAATGAAAAATTGAAATGGGAAGCCATCTCGCGTTAATATTATACATTGCTATTAACTAGCTCGTCGCGAGGGGACGCTTCGCTGCGTTTTCATTTTCAAATAAAGAGAAGAAAGACAGACAGAGAGAGAGAGAGAGAGAGAGAGAGAGAGAGAGAGAGAGAGAGAGAGAGAGAGAGTCGATACCGCCTGAACGTGGGCATAAATTCACGATGCAAATTCGATTGGGGCTGCGCGTTCCTCGGTTTCGCGATCTGCCTTTGAGCTTCTCCTAATCGACTCATCGCGCGTAGAATTGTTCACCGCCGGAACTCGTGACACGACTTGCGAAAAAGCACGAGTGGAAAGACGAAACGGTCACAGGCAAATTATGCTCAGGAATGCGAGTTTAAAGAGAGATTGGAAGTTGGTCGATGGCACTTGACACATTAGCACTGAATCGTAATTTCGAGTCAATCCCGAAATGAGTTCTCAGGCACAAGCGTTTCACCCAAATTCTACTGTCTTGAGTCGAGAGTATTTGATCAAATTCAAACTAATAGGGAGAGAGAGAATTGTTCCGATAAGGGAATTTCTTTGACGTTGAAATTTTATTTATTTAAATAAATATTACTTATTAATATAAAATATTGAAATTGAATGTCAATATTTATTTATTTAAATAAATATTATTTATTGATGTAGAATATTAAAATTGAATGTCAATGTTTATTTATTTAAATAAATATTTATCAGTATAAAATATTAAATATTAATATTTATTTATTTAAATAAATATTATTTATTAATATAAAATATTGAAATTGAATGTCAATATTTGTTTATTTAAATAAATATTATTT